AGTTCTGAGGAAGGGTTACCAGACCCGAAACGTTAACTCTGTTTTTTCCTTCACAGATGCTGCCAGACCTGCTGATCTTTTCCAGCAACTTTGTTTTTGGGCCTCACAGACTAGTCAAGCAATAGCCTGACAGTCATACTCATGGAATCATACCTTACAGACAAATGTTCCAGACACCATCTTCACCATCCCTGGATATGTCCTGTCCCACTGGCAATACAGACCTAGCAGAGGTGGCAGCACAGTGGAATACAGTCAGGAGGGAGTTACCCTGGGAGTCCTCAACATTGATACTGGACTTCATGAAATCTCATGGCTTTAGGATAAACATGGGCAAGTAAACCACCTGCTGAATACCAAATATTGTCCAGCCTCAGGTGATGAGTTTGCACTCCTCCATATTAAACAACATTTGGAAGAAGCACTGAGGATGGCAAGGGTGCAAAATGTACTCTGGGGAGGGATTTCAATGTCCACTGCCAAGAATGGCTTGACAGCAGCACTACTGATTGACCTAGCCGGGTCCTAAAGAGCATGGCTGCTAGACTGAGTCTGCAGCAGACGGTGAGGGAACCAACGAAAGGGAAAAATATACTTAGCCTCATCCTTACCAATCTGCCAACTGCAGAGGCATCTGTCCATGACAGAATTGTAACAATAATATCTGCACAATCTCTCTTTATATTTCTCATTCTTGCCTTCATATTAAGAATACTCTCCATTGTGCTGTATGAGCACTATCACCAAGCTAAATTGGACACTCTTTGGACAGACTTTGAACAGGTCTAGCAACTCAAGACTGGGCATCTATCTATAAGGCACTGTGGGCCATCGATAGCAGCAGAATTGTACTCTGCAATCTGCAACTTCTTGGTCTGGCATTAGCCATTACCATCAAGCCAGGGGATCAAACCTGGTTCATTGGAGAATACAGGAGGGGGCATTCCAGGAGTAGCACCCAGGCATGAGATATCAATTTGGTGAAAGTACCAAACAGGACTACTTGTGTGTCAAACAGCATAAGCAGCAAGTGACAGACAAAGCAAAGCAATCCCACAACCAATGGATCAAATCAAAGCTCTTCAGTTCCTGTCACATCCAGTTGTGAATGATAAATAAAAACTGAAAGAACTGCGGATGCTGTAAATCAGGAACAAAAACAGAAGTTGCTGGAAAAGTTCAGCAGATCTCACAGTATCTGTGAAGAAAAATCAGAGTTAATGTTTCGAGTCCGGTGATCCTTCCTCAGAACCTGATTGGTGGTAGACAATTACACTATTTACTGAAGGACACAGCTCCACTAATACCCCCATCCTCAATGACAGAAGAGCCCAGCACATTTGTGCAAAAGATAATGAAGCATTTGCAATCTTCATCCAAGAATACCAAATGGATTATCCATCTTGGCCTCCTCCAGTGGTCCCCAGCATCACAGATGCCAGTCTTCAGCAAATTCAATTGACTTCACGTGATATCATGAAACGGCTGGAAGCACTGGATGCTGCAAAGGCTATGAGCTCTGACAATATTCCAGCAAAAGGCCCTGCCACACACCTAGCCAAGCTGTTCAAGTAAACTGATAACACTGGCTTCTAGCTGATAATGTGGAAAATTGCCAGGTATATCCTGTACATAAGATGCAGGTTACATTCAACCTAGCCAACTACCGCCTCATCAGTCTACTCTTGAACATCAGTAAAGTGATGGAAGGTGTCATCAACAGTGCTAACAAGCAGCACCTGCTTAGCTACAACCTGCTCACTGACACCCAGTTTTAGTTGTGCCAACTCCTGACCTCATTACAGTCTTGGCTCAAACATGGACAGAAGTGTTGAATTCCACTAGTGAGGTGAGACAGTGACAGCCCTCGACATTAAGGCTGCATTCGACCGGGTGTGGCATCAAGGAGCCCTAGCACAACTGGAATCAATAGGAATCAGGTGGGAAACTCTCTGCTAATTGGAGTCAGACCTGGCACATAGGAAGATGGTTGTCATTGAAGGAGGTCAGTCATCTCAGTTCCAGCACATCTTTGTAGGAGTTCCTCAGGGTAGTGTCCTGGACCCATACATCTTCCGCTGTTTCACTAATGACCTTCCCTCCATTATAAGGACAGAAGTGATGATGTTTGCCGATGATTGCACAATATTCAGCACCAACTCAGATCCTGAAGCAGTTCACGTTCAAATGCGACACAATGTTGCAACACAAAGGCTTGGGCTGACAAAAGGCAACTAACATTTGCATCACACAAACACCGGCCATTAAGACATATCAAACCACCATCCTTCGACATTCAATGGTGTTACCATCATTGA